TGAGAGAGCGTATAAATTAAGATGACTTAAAGGATGGGAGGGAAAAAATTAACAGTCACAGGTTAATGAGATGGAAACAAAAAATCATTCTGAAGGGAAAGGTGTGTGGGCTTTACAAACATGTCTAGTTCATAAATTGATTGTTTCAGATGTAATTTGCAGGGCTGCTTCTTAAAACAACAACTAAAATACGTCTTGATAAATTAGAGTACACATGGTTTGGTTCTCACAGTAATGGAGTCCCTGTGAATGTCGCATGAAACGTTCAGTAGGTGTATAAGGCCAACACAGCAAACTTGGAGGTAATTCAATTTAACATTTTATTGGATTAAAAAACATGTCTTGAGGATTAGCATAAAAAATTCAAGCCTTTTCATCTGGTATAGTTTATTTTAAAGTACTTCATTAACTGGGAGATTTTAAACAAAGCCACTGCAAAGCATATAAAGGAAGAGAAATCATCTTATATTTTATTCATGATCATGCACAATATCAAAGAGAATATTTATTTTAATTGTGTGCAGCTTTTTAATTTACATCTCTACCTTAAGAGTGTCTTTAGAATTTTCTATGGTCTCAGAAGGCAAAAGCAAGAATAATGAAACATTAGCACCATAGATACAAACAGCAGCCTGCTCTGTGTTAATGGCTCTTATTAATATTAATAAACTGTTGAAAAGATAATTGTTCTCTCAATATTTATAAAATATACACTGTGTTCATCTGACAGAATCACTTGGACTAACACTTTTATACATTCAAAAGAATGCTGGTAGTTCTTACCCGATTTCCTTTGAGTCCTTGTGGTCCTACTAAACCCTGCAAACAGAAATGAGAAGTCTTTAAAGGCTTCATTTAATCCCTCATTTCAGTTTAAAAAAAAACACAAAACAAAAAAACAAACAAAACAATAAAGTTGTTTGGGTAGAAAGATTTCCCCCAACACAACGGTTCAATAATCACATTGAAAATACTGAGACATTAAATTTTTGTTTTTCATTATTTGCAAGCCATCCATCCATCCATCCATTATCTTTACCCGCTTATTCCATTTTGGGTCACGGGGGTCGCTGGTGCCCATGTCCAGCAATCACTGTCAAGAGGCGGGGGACACACAGGACAGGTGTCCAGTTCATCACAGGGACACAGACAAACGAGACAAACAATCATTCACTCTCTCACTCACACCTAGGGAAAATTTAGATTTGCCAATCAGCCTAACATGCATGTTTTTGGTCTGTGGGAGGAAACTGGAGTACCTGGAGAAAACCCATGCAGCACAGAGAGAACATGCAAACTTCACCCAGAATGGCCCCCGGACCGGGATTTGAACCCTGGCTGCCTGCTCGCTGAGGGGCAGTGGCTCTACCAGTTGTGCCACCATGCTGCCCCATGAAATACTAGTAAAACCAATTTTTAAACACATTTGTGTACAAACGTCAATAAAAAAGCCAGTGTAAAGGACCAAAAGACGAGAGCTGAATGCCAACCTTGAACACTGGAAGTAGCTGTCGTGGAAAAAATTGATTTCCAAATGATCAGGTGTAGACCTCATCAGATGTATTACAAAACGTTGGAGAACAGCCAACAACTCACAGAAGATCAATGCCTTTACAAGGACAAACTTATTGATGCATTCACCTGTCTGAGGTTCTGACCTGTTCTGACGTCCTGAACTGAAAAGGTTACCTTTGTAGAAACTCATCAGGGGGTCTGCCCCTCCCCTTCACCTTGTCCTAGTGTTTTCTGAACCAAACCCAGCAGCTGCGCTCAGGGAGCTGCTGAAGGTAAACTCTTCTAAAGGATCTTACGGGGAATCACTGTGTCTACCATAACATTCAAAAATCTACAACATGATAAAAAAATGACCTCTGCTCTTTCTTCTTACCGATGGTAACATCAAGAATAATTATAATATACATATAATATACAGTAGAGAAAGGATCATGGAAACATTTAATATCATTCACAATGACAGTAAAGGAGCAGAAAAGGTTATGACGTCTATATTCCATCCATCCATTATCTTCCGCTTGTTCCGAAGTCGGTTCTTGGTGCAGCAACTTGAGCAGGGAGGCCCAGACATCTCTTTCCACAGCCACCTCTTCAGGAGTTCCCAGTCCAACTGAGAGACAAAGTCTCTCCAGCTTGTCCTGGGTCTTCCCTCTGGGGTCTCCTCCCAGTCGGATATACCTGAAGCACCTCCGTAGGGAGGTGCCCAGGACGCATCCTTACCAGATGCCTGAACCATCTCAACTGGTTCCTCTCTCTGTGGAGGAGCAGCGGTTCTACTCCGAGTCTCTCATGGATAATTGAACTTCTCACTCTATCTCTAAGGGAGAGTCCAGCTACCCTGTGGAGGAAACTTGTTTCAACTGCCTGTATCCACAATCTCATTCTTTTGGTCACTACCCAGATCTCGTGGCCATAGGTGAGTGTAGGAACATAGACATAAACAGAGAGCTTTGCCTTACAGCTCAGCTCAGCTCTCTCCTCCCCACAACGGACCGGCACAGAGTCTGCAATACTGCAGATGTTGAACCAATCCATCTGTCAGTCTCACGCTTCATTCTTCCCTCACTTGTGAACAAAACCCCAAGATATTTGAACTCCTGCACTTGATGCAGAACCTCACCCTCGACCTGAAGAGAGTGATCCACCCTTTTCTGACTTGAGGACCATGGCCTCAGATTTGGAGGTGCTTATTCTCATCCCAGCTACTTCACACTGCTGCATACCACTCCAGTGAAAGCTGGAGATCATGGCATGATGATGCCAACAGGACCAAATCATCTGCAAAGAGTCTGCAATCCTGAGGCCACTGAACCGGAAACCCTTTGCCCCCTGGCTGCACAAGAATCTGTCCATAAAAGTTATGTACATTATCCGTGACAATGGGTCTATATATGGGTAAAGTCTATAACAATATATTAAAACAATGGGGCATGCTGCATGCATTATATACACATTCCCTTGACAGTAGAATATAATTCATAGCTACTGTTGTGCCCAATTTTATGCATGCATATTAGTAACTGTAAAATATAGTTCAGTTACTACAGTAATCAATCTTAGTCAGTACAAAATAACAACAACTCAGTGTGTTTTTCTGATATTGCGCAAACATTTAGTGCAGTCATAGCTGAGAGTCCAAATCCCAAAAAATTGTTTGAGCATTTCAGATTCAGGTGAGAATATGCTATTTTAAAGCATGACCAAAATCACAATAACCCAGTCATTTCCAACATAAAATGGTTTTAGTTCAAAATTCTAGCAAGAAAGACAGTGAAAGGGTTGTATTCCTTCAGAGAATGCAAATGGTAAATGGTATATGGACTGTACATATATAGCACCTTTCTATCTAGTCAAGACACTCAAAGCACTTTACGATACAGTCTATATCCTCATTTGGGGGCGGCCGTGGTGCAGTGGTAGTGGCAGCCGACCTCTGATCGGAAGGTTGGAGGTTCGAATCCCGACTTCCCACACCATGTGCCGTTGTGTCCCTGGGCAAGACACTTAACCCCGAGTTGCTCCCGGTGGGACTGGATGGCGCCTTGCATGGCAGCCTACCGCCACCGGTGTATGAATGTGCGTGTGAATGGGTGGATGGCTGGTACTGTAAAGCGCCTTGGGGCCCCTCATAGGGGGCTGGAAGGCGCTATAGAAGTAAGCTCCATTTACCATTTACCATTTACCATTTACCCGTTCATACAGCACTCTACTAGATCTCTCTTGCCCAGGAACACTTCAGCATGTGACTGCTGGTGGAAATTAACCCCCAACTCTCCCATTGGAGGACGACTGCTCCAACCAAGGAGTGTATTGTTTAAGGAATTGTATTTAACTTTTTTATTTTTTGGCCAGAGTATAAAGTGACATCCTTACTTTTGCTGTCAAGTTATGTTTTACTATGCTATTTTATGCATCTTATTTCAAGGATAAATGGGAATAAAGTACAGCAGCAAGCCACTGCATCAGTTAGTAGATCTGTTGCCTCTCAGCAAAAAAGTTGCCGGATCGAACCCCGGCTGGGTTTCTCCGTGTACTCTGGTTTCCTTCCACAGACCAAAAACATGCACATTAGTCTGATTGGTAACTCTGACATGTCCCTAGGTGAAAGTGAGAGAGTGAATGTTTGTTTGTCTCTATGTGTCCCTGTGATGGATTGGAGCCCTGTCCAGGGTGTACCCCGCCTCTCGCACAGTGATGGTTGGACATGGATACCAGTGACCCCCATGACATGGAAAGGAAGAAGTGGGTAAAGATAATGGATGGATGGATGGATGGATGATAGATGGATGGATGAAAGGATGCATGATGGTGGGTGGATGATGGATGGGTGGCTGGATGGATGATGGATGGATGGATGGATGATGGATGATGGATGATGGATGGATGGATGGATGGATGATGGATGGATGGATGGATGGATGCATGATGGATGAATGGATGCATGATGGGTGAATGGATGGATGGATGCATGATGAATGAATGGATGGATGGAATCATGATGGATGCATGATGGATGCATGGATGAATGGATGCATGATGGATGAATGGATGCATGATGGATGAATGGATGGATGGATGCATTATGGATGAATGGATGGATAGAAACATGATGGATGAATGGATGAATGGATGCATGATGAGTGAATGGATGAATATATGCATGATGGATGAATGGACAGATGAATGGATGCAAGATGGATGGATGCATGATGGATGAATGGATGGATGCATGGATGCATGATGGCTGGATGGATGCATGATGGATGAATGGATGCATGATAGATGAATGGATGCATGGATGAATGGGAATACAGCAATATTTTGATTTATATTTAGTTAAAAATCCATGTTGAAACACTGAATGTGTTTGACAGAAGACTCACGTAAGATCTCCACTGCTTTACATGGCCAGTTATTTACAATATTTAACTTGCAATTTAAACTTAATTTCAGACTTACGGGGATGCCTTGTTGCCCAATTGGTCCTGGTAATCCCGACTCTCCCTTTTCACCCTGTTGCAAAAAGAAAATCCATTTGGAAAAGATTTAAATTTTTATTATGATTATTTAAAACATAAAAACAGAAGAGGAAACTGAGTTACTCACTCTCTCTCCCTTTGGTCCGGCAGGCCCTGGCACACCTGCTGGTCCGATTAGACCCTGTAACGCAGGAAAGACATGAATACCTCAGAGCATCAACCAACATGCAGGACAGGAAAAATAATAATGAAATGATTGAAACCAGTAAATCAACAAGCTTTCCAGTGAACATAAACTCTTTCACAAAACACTATGTTTTGGACCAATGAGTCCAATGACCAATGAGAACTTTTAAAAAAGCTTGTTGAACTACTGTCTAACAAGTTACAAAGAAAGGAAAACAAATGAAAAGTCAACAGCTGTGGTTCTCTGTCTGAGAAGAAGTCAGGACGGCAGAGAAAGGCCCAGCTTCTCAGGCATTTGGAGTTTGTACAGAGCCGTATGGAACAGAGCCATCCAGATATACTGTAGGACATGTCAACATGCAGCATGGGCATTTGTGCATGCTCGTTTTGAAGAATAATAAGATGTAGTAGCTTTACAGCTCGCTGCAAGTTCAGATCAGGAGGCAGGAAACTGCTGACAAAGACTGAGGACAGAGGCTCATTACCAGAGTGTTCAGAATATGCTTTATCTTAATCTGAAGTTATTTTTATTTGATTTAAAATTGTTTAAAATGGCTTGGAAACATTTCACAATCCTGGTGGGACCTTATTATAAGTTTAGGTTGTGATGAGAGGAATTAGAACATAAAACATTAAAACAAGCAACGACAGATGACCAAATTGAGTGTGAAGCAAACACTCCTTGATTGAAACTTTACAAAATATACATTTTTATTGTGAACAATTTAGAATGTTAAGCATGTAGACATAAAACTAAAGGTGATCATGTCGAGAATATGATAAACATTCAGGTCAAGCTTTGGTTGAGTTGTTGAATTTACCACTAAAATATGCATTGTAAAGTTAAAACATGAACAAAAAGTTACGTCTTGATGCTGCTCAATAGTCCAGGTAGAAAAATCCAACAAAGTTCAGTCAGGTCCTCTGGATGGTTTCTTTTTGTTGAAACGTTTCATCTTTCATCCAAAGGACTTCTTCAGTCTGAGGAGCCACAACAATAGTGGGTGAACCAGTTTGATGGTGCTCAGAAGGTTTCTGGAGTCCACCCTCTCCTCTGCCAACTCGTTTGAGGCAGTCATGGCCAAAATTGTTCAAAACATCCCAATTTGTGTTCAGTAATCCAGGTAAAAAAAAAATAAATCCAATGACGAAGACAAAACATAAAAAAATGTCCAGAGGATTTGACTTAACTTTGTTGGATTTTTCTACCTGGATTATTGAGCATGCATCAGGATGTTTTGAACCACTTTGGCCATGACTCCATCAAACAAATGTAGCACTGGATCTAACGCAATAAAGGCCCTTACAGCCACTCAGGAGGAAGGCAAGGGACAGTGATTTGCATGTGAGTTTGCTCAATGCAATGTAAAAACTTGGACCTCTGAACATTTTACTCAGAACTGAGAAAGCTCCCTGGATGAGAAGCGAACCATTTTTAAAAAGAACAAAATTCACGTTGCATTTGTTTAAACCTACTTGGGAATGGTTTGGTAATTTCTGTAGAATAGCATGAAAGATGTATTTTACACTGATACACTGATCTGTTATTTTAATAATATATTTAAAAGCACCAGAATAACCTTAATCTTATCGTGTTGCTGTATCTGCAGGGCTTTAGGTGATTATTTGCTAGTTCTCATAATTTGTTAGTAATTGTTATTAATAACGAATACTATTTAATTAGTTGTAATGCTCAGTAGTCATTAATAACATATGGCAGCTAGTTTAGTTAGAATTATTACTTGTTCCAACAAGTAATCAATATTGGCATGACCGTGATAAATCATGTGTACAGTCATTTTTTCATCAGGGTAGTTGGTATATAGTTTGTAACAAAACCTGAACAGTCCTGCTCTTACACAGATTCTTCTTGAAGGAAACAAGGCATGACAATGAAAAAAGGGGAAAACAACAAAGACAAATAGTCATAGCAGACATTAAGCAAGCAGTAGCAAGAGCAAGGGAGGATTCAGATGGAAGGTGGGGAACGGAGGATGGGGTCAGGGGGACTGGATACGGACTTGCGCCACTCACCACTGGACCAGGTCTGCCGTCTAACCCATGAGCCCCCTGCATATTGTTGTACACAGTTAGAGAGCAGAGATGATGGAGAAAACGGGTGGGGGAGTGAGGTGGGGTTTGAGAGGTTGGAATGGTGAGGGGGGAGGTGAGTAAAGCTGTGACTACAGTGACTTTAACACATTCACATGATGACAAATAAACGGTGATGCAAGTGGTGAAGGTGGAGCTCAAGTAACATTAGATCATCGATGATGAGTTCTTCACAGTTAAGCTCTGACTCCTGAATGTTCTTACAGTCATGCTACAGCATCACACTGTTCATATTAATGTACTGTGCATTAGATCTTACCAGCGGGGGGGGGGGGGGCTATTAGTGACATTTATTTTATTGAAATTGATGCAACATTGCCCTAAGTCATTGCTACATTATTTACAAATACGGTTAATGTAGGGGCGGCTGTGGCTGAGTGGTTAGAGCAGTCGTCCTCCAATGCAAGAGTTGGGGGTTTGATTCCATGCTGAAGTGTCCCTGGGCAAGACACTGAACCCCTAATTGCTTCCAATGTGTGTCCCATTAGTGTATGAATGTGATAAAGCTCTGATTACTCTTTGTATAGATCTAGTAGAGTGCTGTATGAATGGGTAAATGAGGATGTAGATTGTATCGTAAAGTGCTTTGAAAAAAAAAAGTACTTACAGGCAGTCCAAGATGGCCTCTGTCTCCCTTTTCACCTTTCTGACCTATGTCTCCCTTTTCTCCTTTCGTAGCCATTCCTGGCTCACCCTAAGAAATATGACAAGACATATCTCTTTATTTTGCATTCATGCATTGTCAAGTAGTGACTATTTAACTGAAAGCAGAATAAAAGACAAAAAGAAAGAAAAATATATATATTCCAACATTTCAGAAGAATATTTCTCACCTTAGGCCCTGAAGATCCTTGAGGCCCCTGGGTGGAACAAAAACAGTAGAATTAGTAACAAGTATAAATACATTCATAAACTTAAACCTTAATGGGCAACTATAAGGTCTCAGTTATTTTTTCAGTGTCTATGACACGCATTTTCGTACTTATACTTATTTTACTATGACATTTCTTGTGTTCAACATGTAGAATGTATTATTTACCTGCAAATTATTTTTCTATGTAAAAGTTTAATAAAGAAAAAAAAAATCCTTAAAATCTTTTAACGGACAAGTAGATAATCGTAAGGGAAAAAAAATAGATTTTACATCTTAAATTTCACAAATTTTGTTTAAAACAGCGGTAAGAACTTCTTAAAACTAAACTAATGACACTTCCAGTATAAAGTACTGAGTAAAAATTTGACATACATGGACATGTTTAAGCTTCTTGTGTTTTTATATTTTGCCAGCATTTAAAAGTTCTCTTGATGAGCTCTTCTTGATTACAGCTTTGGATGCAGATGACACCAAACTATGCAGAATGTTACTTGCTTGCTTTCTCTGAGAAGTTCCCTAGAATAACTTTGTTTATAAAAACTGATTGAATAAAAGACTAGCTGTAGAAAATCAATGACACGTTTGACTTACTGCAGGGCCAACAGGTCCAGAAGGTCCTGGGGGCCCAGGAGGACCGTACATCTAGAGACGGAAAAATTAAACAAACACTTTTCAATATCGAGAAATTTCTCATAAAAATGTTCTGAGGTTTGATTTTGCATTTGGAAAAGTTTGTTTCTGACTGACCCTTACCGTTTCTGACCGTCCTCCATCCCCCGGTTCACCTTTAGGACCCTGTGACACAGAAAGACAAAGCTGAACAAATATCTTTACATGACACATTGTTTCCACACATCACTTGGGGAGAACACAAAATAAATGTCAGTGATTTCTCTCCCCTGCAGAACAAAATGCACAGACAGATGCAGCCTGAGGGGCACTGTTGCGTACCATTGTGCCAGGTAATCCAATTTGACCAGGGGACCCTTTAGCCCCCTTTTCACCCGTAGGGCCATCTAAACCCTACAGAACAAGGAAGTAGAAATGAACATCACAACAATGGCTGCATCGTTTTTTAATAAATGACTGAACTGTTTGCAACTGAATCAAAAACAAACTTTTTCAGATTAAATTCCAAACTAATCAGCAGCAAAAACAGGAGAATATCAGAGACTACATAACTTTTCCATCCACACTTTGTGGATTACCAGGTTAACTCAACTCACAGGGAATATATTTAAGGTCATTGTAATATTTAAATTTTCATACAAATCGTAAACTGAAGTTAGCAATACATACATATATATATATATAAATGATTTGAACATTTTTGGATTGTGGTTCATGTTTTGAAAATGTCCGTTGTGAGTTTCTCCTTATAAAACCTTCTGAACATACTTTGAGTTAAGAAGCACAATACAACACACAGGTAATTCATTTTCAAACAGATGGATTTTTCAGTTTGATGAGATCTGTTAAAATTTACAACAGTCTGATACAATTCTAAATGTATGACTAACAGTGATGTTTATTTTCTTTTATTGCACAGGTTAGCAGCCTTTAAATACCATAATTATATATAAAAAAAAACATTAAAAAGATTATCCTTTTCCATGCAAAAAGTTGCACTCACTTCGAGCTCAGGTCCTCCACCAGAAGCGTGGTAAGGACTCATCACAAACATAATGGTTTTGTTCCATTCCACATGTGACTATGAACCGCAGGATATATTAAAGTGATATTTTGTCCCTTTTGCTGTTCTGCATATAAACTTGACCTCCTTTAGACTGATAATCACACAGTGGCTAAAATATCAGTTTCAAAGTTTCAATATTCAGTCAACTCCTCTAAATATCTTGCATCCAGCTGTGTGTCAAAAATGAGCAACACATTGATTTGTCGATCTACTTTAGTAGAACGTACAGCAACAACACAGGAATACCGTAAGGGTTGGATAAATGTGGTGGAATGGTAACCAAAACAGGCAAGATGATCACAACTGAAGGGGTTGAACTACCCAAAAACAACATTGCACACAGAGCACTAATAATACGTTGGAATGCCACAAGCAAATAGCAACCATGAAGAGGTCAGAAGAATGCAAACACAACCAAATACCTACAGCGAGTAAGGCAGGTCCTGAGGAGCCAGTTGAATGGTAACAACATCCAAGTCATGAACATGTATGCACAGCCAGTCATCAGATACCTTGCTGGTATGTGGTATGAGTGGCTTGGCCAAAGGAGGAGATAAAAGCCACTCATATCAAGATAAGAAAATGCTTCACAATGCAAGGTGGGTTTCACCCCAAGTACAGCTTAACCCAAAGTTTCCAAGACAAGAGTATGTGTAAGCACTTGTATACAAACACAATAGCCAAGTGCCTGATATAGTGAACATAAGTATCTGGGAAATCTCCAGTTGAAGCAGGAGACTCCATCAAGACTGAGGTACTGAGACATCCAGACTAACAAGCAGGGGATGGCTAATCAACCAGGCATTCATGTGACTGACAAACTACAGAAGAGGTTAGTGGTGATGGATGCACCAAGCCCAAACAAGTAACATTGAAAAGAGGAATGTGAGAAGCTCAAAATACTAAAATCTTCAGTTCAATTCAATTTGTTTGTATAGTGCCAAATCACAACAGCAGTCCTCTCAGGGCACTGACCAGAAACACAGAAACATTCACAAACATATAAAGTCAGTTAACAACATTATTTATGTAAGGAGTCAACAGATTGCTTTGAGTTTGATAAAAAAGTTTAATGAGAAGAAAGACAAGTTGTGAAGAGGCAAGGCCTCAGTAGTCTCATTGGTTTTTAGATCACTCTGGTCTTTGACCCCCAGACTGGGAGAGTGGCCCCAACAGATCCTAGGACCTACCTTTTTAATCTGTTAAGAAAACTGCTTTCAGGCTCCTGGTAGAGGAGCTGAGCTCAAGGTGCAACCCAATGACATGGAAGTACAAGCTGAGAGTTTGGTCATGTATGTATGGATTTCACGTTTTTACACCTGGACCTTCATTCTATGCTTAGTTCTCCTTCCTGTCTTCTCAAACCCCAGCTCCTCGAAGCAGATGGCCACTTGTCCTGAGCCTGGTTCTGCTGGAGGTCTCTTCCTGTTAAAAGGGAGTTTTTCCTTTCCACTGTTGCCACTGTGCTTGCTCAGAATCGGAGACTGTGATGAAGTGCAGGCTTCCTTAGATAGAATACTTTTACTAACTAGCTTTAATAATGCATGTCAGTGTTTTTGTTAAGTGCCCTGAGATGAATTCTCTTGTGACTTGATGTTTTATAAATAAACTGAAATGAATTTAATTTTCATTATCCTTGTGATGGATTATGTTAGGGATTTTTAACTCATCTGAGTTGTATCATCGAAGTACAGACAGTTACAATTATAAGGGTACTTTATATTGAAAATCAGTGTCAAAGTGAATAAAAAAGCACATACTGGCACATTTTTAGTTCGCAACTCTTTAATTAGATAATTTTAAGTCAGATGAGAAAACTAAAGCTTTTCCTCTGGCTAATGAAAGATGTGGCTATGGTCAAAAACCCAGACAATGATGTGTGGTGTTAACAGTGACTCACAGGTGATCCAGATGGACCCATGTCTCCTTTATCTCCTTTGGGTCCTGGGTAGCCCATGACACCACTCTCTCCTCTGGTACCTTCTGGACCGGCTGGACCTGGAGGACCAAGTTCTCCAGGTTTTCCTCTAGGTCCCTGTAAACACATTAAATTGTTGTTGTCTCAAATAAACAATATCATTAACAAAGTGCTACTGTGGTACTAAGTTTGGTGTCTTCAGTGATAAACTACCGTTTGTTATAAATAAAATCAAACAGTTTAGTAACTCCTCTTTGTCTACTCAAAGAAAGTAAAGAAACATGCATAAAAGAACCTATAAGAATTTTCAAAACAAAACATTTTGTAAGATGCAATATTAAGTGGATGTGACTGACATAGCAGTGAGGATGTCACAGTTAGGTAAAATAGAAGCATCCACCAAAGACATTATATTAACAAAGTCACGTCACTTTGTTCTAAACTCCCTTAACTTTTTTCATTGTTTATAATTCAAAGTGGAATTGCAAAGAATATTGCTCTTTCAACGTTCTATAACATTGTCAGAAGAAACCCCAGTGCCTAAAATCCAATGACGGAAACCAATGTGCAAATTACCAGTAAACAAACAACAATTCATCATTGGTTTCAGTTGCAGATAGAAGACATGAGCCTGTTTTCTTCCAGAACATGATGTGTTTTTGCAGGTAACATGTAGTTGATGTGTCTGAATGATGTTTTCATCCAGTGCGTTTCACACAAGAAGGAAGCCACATATCAACTCTGCACAGAGAACCTGCTGTGTCTTTTTTTAGGTCTGACCTAATCTCAAAGATTAAAAGACAGCAGACGCATGTTTTGTGGGTAAATGAGTAGACATTTCATTTGCTTAAAAATAATTACAAGAAGAAGGTCTTAAAGTCTAAATATGAAACACGAGAAAGATTGGTTGGTATTTGCAAAAGGTGCACCAACTCAAGTTGGAGACAGTATTGGGGTTGTCACTGAGTATAACACAAATAACATGTATTTGTAAAATCAAGGCACCATATCTTCCCAAGAAGTCTGTTGTTATTTAAGCAGGAAAGTTGCACACCTTATTGTGTCCAACCTTCAATGGCACCATTTTGTAGAAACAGCGCCCCCAATTTATCAAAGAATTGCAGAGATTTTATGGGTGATAGGAGCAAAACAAATTTGTCTTATCTGCCTCATTCTTAAAACCCTGACAATATCTCCAATCAAGAGCTTGTGTTGTATCTCTGGAGAAGAAACAAAAGAAAAGGAGCTGTCTGCTGCAATGTTGTCTTCAATAACGAAAATAGATAGATAGATAGACAGACAGACAGACAGACAGACAGACAGACAGACAGACAGACAGA